GGAACTCTTCCTCCTAAGAAGAAGTCGGCATATAGTCTAGCTCCAAACCGAGTGTCATGTCCGTACTGCCACCGCAAGTTCCCCTGGTCGTCGTCCCTCCGTCGCCACGTGCTCACCCACACGGGACAGAAACCCTTTAAATGCCCTCACTGTCCTTTACTCTTCACCACGAAGTCAAACTGCGATCGTCATTTGCTTCGAAAACACGGCGGATCCGCTAGAGCTATACTCGCTGAACCAATCACAGACTCGGTCTCCCCTCCACAGATTGACACCAGAACAGTCCCAGAAAGACCATTCAAATGCGCGTCGTGTCCAACCAGTACTTTTTCCTCTATGGAAACTTTAAAGAAACATATGTCATCTCGTCACGGAACTAGCGATTCCCAACCGGGTTCTCCTAACCCAGAAGGGAATGAGGAATTAGTGGACGGTATGGTGTTCAAGTGTCATTTATGTGAAGGGTCCTTTGGAGATAGAAGTGCAGCTTTAGCTCATTTAGCAGCTAATCATGCAGCGGAATATGAACAGTTGGTTAGCAAAGGAGCGCTAGATGGCACCAGTGACCGTAGCGAGAGCGCTGATGATGACGAAAGGGGCAAATTTCCTGATCACGCTAATAGAAAGGTAAGATATCAAATTTTACTTTATAAATGTCCTTACACTTTCAAACAAGAGCGAGCGCACAACGGTTGTTTCGTAGGCAATTGTTTAGTTGCACAACTAAAAATCGAGTAGTATGCGCACCTCCATATAAGCTCATAGGAATCAAAGATACACTGAACAGTTGTGCGATATTTTAGCCAAATTTAGGTAATTGAAGTAAAAGAAATTATAATTGTTCAATTATCCGCAATGTCATTTATTTTTGAACGTTAAGGAAAGTGAAACACGGAAAATGTGCAAAGGTTAATTTCCAAGTTATGTGGTCATATCAGAAAACGTAATAACACCGTTTACCGGCAACTAAATCAAGATTTCCATGCATTTACAGGTTGTGTGTGCGTTTTGCATCCGTCGTTTCTGGTCGGCTGAGGATTTGCGGCGTCACATGCGTACTCACTCCGGTGAGCGGCCATTCGCATGCGACTTGTGTCGGCGGCGGTTCACACTGAAGCACAGCATGCTAAGACACCGCAAGAAGCACCGAGAAGAACTCACTGATGATGAGGAAACCACGCCTCCAAACACACCATTGGAAACAGCTAATACTAATGGGTAAGTTAACTTTTAAAAAGTAGTGCAAACGCTGTAAAATGTAGCTGGAGCACTGATCTATACAGATGGATAGGCGATTGTTTGGAAACGACAGCTATTGCCATGCTTTTTGGTGTTAGAGACAGTTAAGTCTAAAACTAATGTTGATTTAAAAACTCTTTTACCGCCACCAATTTCAAATTCAAATAGACACAAAATACCGCAGTTATAACCTGTCCATTTATAGAAATCAGTGAGACTTATTCATTCGTCTTTTATTTGTATTTTTTTTTTGTTTGAAGACTAGGATCGTTTTAATAGATTTTTACCCTAAGAAATAATGCAGAGGCAATTTGATATCTATAAAAACATGCATTATAGTTATTATGTTTCCTGATAATTTATAAGCATGCAATAGCGTGCAACCGACATCAACCATGCAGAGCTTAATGCATGCTAACATTAATGTTAGATTTTAACATTTTTATAAGCTAAATCTATTAGAAAGTTTCATATTTTATTGTTTCATTTAGATATCGCTACCAAGACGACGAAGGTTCAGGCGGGGAAGTGCCCAGTAACGTGAACAACAACAACTCACCGCCATCTATCCCCTACGACAAGAAACTCAAACTGCAAATGACGTCACGCAAGTACTCATCTGACGCTGAGAACGATCCAGAAAATGGCGGCGATCTGATCGGAAAACTGCTCGGGATACAGGACAAGACTATTATCAACAAACTTCTCTCCTCAGCGGATGAAGCGGCCAAATTCCTTGGAGTTAATAAATGAGAGTACGCCTTAGTCCTCGTGACGCCAGCCAGACTCATTCTGGCTCCGCGAGGACTAAAACTTTCAAACCTGACAAACCAACCTACAACGCCATCTATCAACGAGTAGATTAGTTATTGCGCGGAATGATTAGTGATGTCTGAATATCGGTATCGATTACTATGAAATATTTAAATTAATAATTCTATTATTGCTTAATAAGATGTAAAAATTATGAAAAATATCGATGGTCAAAGAACATCTCTAGACTTTAGCTGCCTTATTTAATAGTAACCGTCCGTTTCTGCCTTAAAATTGTACATTTATAAATGTGGGTGACGACAACGAAAGATAAATTAAGTGCCAGTTTATTTTATTATAAAGTACATTGTTAATTCTTAATGTGTCGTATTGATGTGAATTTATAAGTTTTAGGTTAGGATTTTAGCTTCGGAATGACGCATAAGTTTTAGCGATATATTTTTAAAGTCTACGGGATAATAGCTTAAAATATTCACGTTTGCATTTCCATCTAGTCGTATAACATTTTGTATCAATCTTTGAACACCGTTCCGTTTCACGCCGTATTTTTCAATATTCACTTATAATGGTGTATTCAAAAAAAATCTTTCGCAATTGAATCCAAATTTCTCTAGTCAATTTCTTAACTTTTAATAATGATCCTAAGCTTAAAGATACCAAAATCAATAGTAATTATTGCATTCAAATATTTAATAAGTTTTAATTAGGAATTACCAACCTCATTTTATCCTACCAATGAATAGATTGTAATTTTCAGTATAAGTATGTAGAAATTTCTAGAACTTCGTTCTTACACTTTACGATTGATTTCTTTTAAATCGTCACTTTTCACTCTTCAATACTTTTTATTACTATTTTATAAAACTTTATTCTAAGGTTAAATTTTATTTGCTCAAATTCATGGCATTTCTTTATATTTAAAGACTTTATTATACTAAAAAGATTGCTTTTAAGGAAAATTTAGGATCTCTTGTAAATATAATTTGCTAATTATAATATTTTTTTTAATTTGTACCAAAGGCTTTGGGTGAATTTAGTTTACCGAATATTTTACTGTAAAAATTTTACATAATTATAAGGTTAGTTGAAGTTAATTTTAAGATTGACGTTAGATGAATATGTTATATTTTTAGGTTATTGGTGCAGCAATAGTTAAGTGAGTTTTAAACTCTTCATAGTTTTTAATAATTATTATAATTCAGTCTCCTGAAAAGGATCGACAAATCATACGCTAGAATATACCTAAGTTGGAATTTGCTTTGTATAAACTTGTCGCTAAACATACCAAATATATCTACTAATATAAAGAAAAATAGATTTAAAAATTATATCTCTTAGAGCCTGTCGCACCAAATTGCAAATTGTCTGATAACCAATGTGTAAAATATGTGATGGAAATGTCGGATTTTGTTACCATATCTGGCAGTGACGTCATTTATTTGAGTCTATCAGCCAGTAGTGGGACAGGCCCTTAGTATTCTAAGATTGGTCCTATACTGTTTCATAATAATTATTATAATAGCTTGGTAATTTCTAAAGGAATTCTTAAAAGCAATATTGTAATTTATTAAAGAGAAATGTTTATTTGAATTATTGTTTAAAATTAGTAATAATTATTTAATCATGTTAATATATAACAATGTATTATTTAAATTGAAATCCCGCTTCATGTCAATTATGATAAAAAAAAAGCTTTGTAAATTAATGATAATTGCAATTTAATTTAATTTTACTAAGGTCTAATTTTCTTATAGGGCCAGTAATACTTGGTACTTCGATGTTAGTTTAAAAAATCTTACGAATGTCTTGTATAAGAAATACATTTTAAAATTGTGTACTTAAAATAAATAAAGTACTTTATAATTAAGGGTAAAATTAAGTATATTCTGGCAACACCGCTTGGCCTTTCAAATGTAGTGTCGTGTGTTAAATGCTGTTATTTAATAAATATTATATTATCCTAAATATTGTTAAATATTACCAATGTAATTGTATGTGTGGTAATTAGTATATTTAATTATATTCACTTTTTGCCTCTCTTTCTTTTTGCAATAAGAGTGTCGTTTTAAAAACGTTTTTGTGAAATACATGATGTATTAAATAAAGAATTATTTGCTTTAATTTCGGAATTTCAATTTAAAACCTATTTACAAATACCTATTCCTTGCTTTTAAATTAAAAGCTGAGTATATAAGCTAAAGAAAATCTAAAGTAAGTAGACTATATGACTTTCAGACTCATTTCCATCCAAATTTCACCGAGACCAGTTCAGATGTTTAGACTAAAGTAAACTTTCGCATTTATATTCCAGTATTTTTTTCAGATTAGCTGATGTTTTTTAATTAGAAACATTCTGGGCAAATTAATTTTTTTTACATTTTGATGTTACTACTCAACGCTAGATGGCGACACAAATTATTAATAGCCTTTCAAAAATGTAATAGATGACGCTACTTACGATCATGTTTTATGTAAAATTGATTCGTACCATTCTTTATTAGTAATATCAAGAGGTATAAAAACGTTACAATAATACAATTTATTTTTGTACTAATGTTTTATTCAAACATAACATGAATTTAATAGTTGAAAAGTTATTATGAATTATATATGAATATTTACATTATTATTCTGAACGCACTTTAACTCAATTAACTTTTACCAATAGCTTGACAAACCAATAAGCAAACAGGGATACTAGGTTAAAAAAATTACCGCTTTTTGTGGAATAAGTGATAATAAAAGTTACTACATTAAAAGATTTTTGAACACCTTTGAGATGAAGTTCCTAAATTTTACATGATAATTATACCGAGTTACACCTGTAGAGTCATTTTACGAGTTTCCGTTTTAAATTACTCTTTGAAAATAAAAACAAAATGTTATTTTTACTAAATACATTTCAACTTGTTACAAATGATAATTTCAAAACATATCCTGTTCAGCATTTCACTTCCAGCGAATGAATATGTGTAATTCTGAATTTATAAAGTGGCAACCCAGACTAGGTGAATGAAGGAATTTGAAGAAATAGAAAGAAGTCACTAATTTATGCAAGACGGCGTCTTTATTTTCAAATTTAATTGGTTAAGTTTTGAAGTGAGAACTGTGCAATATAACTTGGGTGCCCTTGAACGACCGTTATTTTAGTGATAGTGAATTTCATTTGTAGATTACAAATACATATTTTGTAAGGAATTGTCTAGGTAAGCTTGTTTTCTATGCAGTGCATTCCACATAGTGACGTATGTACTTAACTATAATGCATTATTTTCATACATATATTATAAACGATTTTCATTATTCATTACTTCATCTGTCGTTATTTACACGTAGATATAAATTCTAACCATATTTTGTTTACAAACCCATGATTTGAAAAATTACAGGAGAAAAAAATATCCAATATGGGCGACCAACAGTTTTTCCTGAAATGGAATGACTTTCAGACTAATATGGTGACTTCGTTTAGACATTTAAGAGATGAAAAAAGCTTTACAGACGTAAGTTCTAGTATTCCTATTATTTTAGCTTTCTTATAACCTAGTCAAAAGTTTGCACTTGCTTAAATTGTCGATTTTTTTAGAGTAATAATGTGAAATACATTAAGTAAGTCTATACACACTTAAAGATTTTTCTATACTAGTATAATAACCTTAAATGCTTATTATTAAGTAAATAAATGTTGAAATGGCTAACTGACTGATCAAACAAAATTCTTGTGACATTAAAAATTCTTTTGAAAATTAAAAAGCTAATAAACATTTTATGCCTAATCTTTATTATACATAGTCAATTTTAATATATTCCAGGTAACTTTAGCCTGCGAAGGGCAGACATGTAAAGCTCACAAGATGGTACTATCCGCTTGCAGTCCATATTTCAAAAGCTTGCTAGAGGTGAGTATGTTTTCATACAAATTTGAGAGTTGAAACAGGAAAAATGTTTTGTATGTAACAAACTCAGAAACTATTTAATTTTACTAACATTTTACTCCTTAATTTCTCTACCACTGGAGCTACTCTCAAACTTCCTCTACTATTCTCATTTCGTATCTTATCCGTTCATGTTACCCCACACATCCATCTTAACATTCTGTCACATGTAATCTCCTTACATCCGTCCCTTTAATTGCCCAAATCTCTTCGTACGACACTTCAAAATTTATTGAATCAGTATACATAATTTTCTTTTTAATTCTAATGCATGAAGTCATGAGTAAACGCTAATTATCAATAGTTTTTATTAAATGTTTTGGTACTAGAAACATATGTTCATCAGAACCAATGAAATTTTAAAAGGGGTCTATGAGAAAAATAGTTTGAGAATGTGTCTAGAACTTCATTAACAATAAACATTGTTGTGTAAACAAGGCCAGGATGTTTTCACTACATTGTCTTGTAACAATATTGTGTTCATTTGTTGACTATTACATGCTTTAGTTCATCCTGTATTAATCCATTTTTTCTATACATATTTTTAAGTTTAAAACTAATCTTTAATTAAAAAGTTTATTTTTAATTGGTAGGATTGCTTGCTATAGTTGGTTTTGATTAGAGTTACCAATAAAGAAATAAAAAAGGGAATTTTGTGGTAGTGGGAAATAATTGCCCTATTGGTTATGGTTTATTAATGTTTTAGTAAGATACATTTTGCTTTGTAATCACCACTTACAATCTTGTAAACTCCTTTCTTCCTCTCTTTGTTATTGTAATTGTTAATCTCTTGTTTTTCAATAAAATTATTTCTATTTTCTATTTCCCATTTGATGTACTAATTTAATGGTAAAAGCCAGAGAGAATTGGAAGACATTATTATGTATTAACAATGTGAAATGTAACATTTTTGTGTATATTTTTCAGGAAAACCCATCGAAACATCCAATAATAATATTAAAGGATGTGTCATATCTGCATTTACAAGCGATACTGGAGTTTATGTATGCGGGAGAAGTGAATGTGTCGCAGGAACAGTTGCCGGCCTTCCTCAAGACTGCCGCAAGACTTAAGGTTATTATCAAACATTTTTTAAACCCTTACAGAACTATAAGGTGCGAATACAACAGCTATTACAGAATAGCTATTTCAGGTTTAAATTAAGAGAATATTAGAAAAATATAGCAGGGTATATAGATTTCCTATAATTTAATGTAATAAAAAAATATTGATTCAATAACAATTGAATATTTGATAACATATTTTTGTAAAAGGGAAAAATTTTTCCCTTCAGTGTGAAAGGGTTAAATCCTTATCTGACAGTGTCTAGTGTGATAAACAACTAATTTAAAGGAATCTTAACTAATTTAGAGAAAAATACATAAGATTTTAATTTTAGTGTGTTGGTAACATATCATATTTTTTTACTACGAAAATCTTGTTCAAATTCGGCAAAAGGCTTAACTAAATTTTAAACTAATTATTTTTTTACATCAGTAAAACATGGGACAAACCTCTTAAAGTGAGATTCATTGTCTGGTTTAAAGGAAGACCTTCATAAACGAGAAACTCAGATTATAGACAAAAAACTATAGCTTATACACTGCCAGCCAAAAGTTTAAGACCACCTTAAAAAATTACAATATTGAATAAAACTCCAAAAGTTAGTGCTTTACAAATTATTTATTCACCTTATTAAATAGGAACCTTTAGTAACATAAAATAATTTAATATAAAAAAAATATTAAGTAACTTACACAGGTGTTCGTATTGCTATGTTATCATACGCAGATTTTAAATATTTTGCAAATTATAACCTGTGTACAAAGTGGTCTCAAACTTTTGGCCGGCAGTGTACAGGTTCAACTTTATAGTGCTACCGATTCGTCTGGCTAGTTCAATTTTATATTAAAACTAGTGGAATAGCTTTGTATAAGCTCAATTTATGATACAGCTAAAATGAATTGTCAAATTAAAGTAAATGATTTCTCAATTGATTTGAACTAGTCAAGTGTGGCACTGAAGATTTTAGTTACAATTTATTGATTCTTATGGAAATTAACATGTTTGAAACTCACACTTTGTGCAGCACAAAGACTAACTATGCCACATAAAATATGGACATATTTATACAACCAAAATTTTCTATAATTTGTTTCTTTCTAATAACTTTAGAATTTGCCCAGAAATAAGTATTTATCAAGTTAATAAAAAAAAACATACGACGTCTTGAGTACCTCCTTTTGTGAAGTAGATCAAAACCTAGGTGTAAATCGCAGGTGTAGATTGTAATTCTACTGAAGCCTCCGTAAAAGCCATCTAATTTAGGGTTTTTTTTTTAATTTCCAGGTGAAAGGTCTCGCCGAGCCGCCGCCGCAGATGCCCACCATCAAGCGAGAAGGCTAACACAAGCTGAGTGCGCGAGTGCCCTAAAGACTTTAGTGATTGTAACAGAGAACACCAATTTAACAAACTAACCTCAAACCATTCTGTTGATTTCAAGCCTTAATTTTACCAGCTATCTACACATTGGACTTAGGTAAGTATAATTGCAGATTAAAAATTTCTAATATGACCCTTCCAGTAAGGTAAAAAAAATTTTTTGACATTTGGTATGCCCAAATTTTTTTTAACCGTTAAACCAATGTGTAGATACAAGTCCATTCCATTAAAAATGATTTCCTGACTTTATGGGTTTATGATTTGCACATAACTTTTGATATATAATTTTTTTCTATAGTTGTCATTAAAAATCCACTGTCCATAGAATCGATTGTCAAAATATAGTTGCTTCATGAGTATTCAATTTAAAAAAAAAGTACAATAAAGGATATATTACTATATATTTGATATAAAATTATAACGGAAATGTTTATGGTTATTTTGATAAATCATGCCATAATCTAATGAATTTTTTTTTAACTTTAAAAAACAATATTAAAAAAGATTTAAATAATTTTACGAATTTTTTTCTCAAACTTTAGATTTTGATCGGTACTTTTAAAAAGTCATGTAGTAACATTAGATGTTGGGAATGTATCAATTATGAAAATATGTACAGACACGGTAATTCGCAGTGTCCCATTTTCAGAAAAGTGCCTTGTTCTTAAGACAAACTACGCCTCTTAAAAATAACCAATAAGTAGCTGTAAATAGCGTTAATGAAGGAATAATTACCTGAGTACCATTGACCTATCTTTTTGTACATTTGACTGGCGTCCTATTGAACTGTACCTTAAAGTGCGACACTGCCAGTTTCGCTGATTGTACTTATAATGTTTTATACAGATTATAATTGTTTTCAATGTTACCAGTGTTAATTATGGTATGAGTTATCAAAATACCAAGCATTGTTAGGTTATAGTTGTTTTATTTATAAAGCAGTTTGCACGTTGTGTTAGCATGGACATGCCCTTAGCCTTACACTGTTATCCATAAGTTACCTGTCGACCAAAGTGTGTTTATTCTATTGTCTAGTTCACGTTTTTAACAGACGCAGTCGCATTTAGATATAAAATGGGCCTTAGGAAAAGAGCTAAAGAAATGTAATTTTTAAATCGATCTTTTAAATAATACTCTCTAGTAGTTTGATTCGAATAATTTACTTGATGCAATGAATTAAAAGGTTTGATGGGATATCATAGAAAGAGATAGATTTAAGGCCTGTCCCACCACTATCTGATAGAGGCTGAGATAGTTTGAAAATGACGTCACTGTCAGATAAGGGAACAAAATCCGTTATTTCTATCACACATATTCGATTATTATCAGACAATTTACAATTTGGTAGAACAGGCCCTTATTCTCCAGAGACTTGTTACATGAGTCCTGTAAGAATTAAATCCAGATTTTTTATTGCTTAAGTTTTTTTTTAAATCGAATGTCTAATAGTGTAAAGTACTGTTGTAAATGGTAATAAGCATGTATTTACTTGTTTTGGCTATATGCGACTGCGGCCAAGGGCCGGGCTGTGCTAGCGTCTCGTCGCTCTTTCATAGATCTATCCACCAATGGTTGCCTTATAATTTACAAAGCCCGCAGAACAATAAAATATTTATCCATTCCCATTGTAAAATCGATACAATTTTAATTGTAAATACATTTGTTTTAATATGCAATTTATGGAAATATTTATGGGAATTGATAAATATTTCGACCTGTGTGGTGAAAGTAGTTTTATATGTGACTCTTTCCGTTAAGACTGTTTTCGTCGTATGGGTTTGTTCTGTGGGCGCAGTTGACTTAGCAGTAAGTCTTTGATGTTTAGAGCTAAGTAATATAGCAATAATTACCTTCATGTAGACACTATCTTTGTGTAAAGAAATATATAATTTTTTTATATATTTTTTCTGTCACTAATCGGTGTTCAATTTATTTGGATTGTAGATGTATTATGCAGTTGTTAATTCTGACCAAGAAATTGGATGTCTCTTCCAGTATGAATGTTTGTGTGGGTTTTTTCAAACTTTCGGCACTTTGCGATTATGATTTATTATTTTGCTTAGACAAGATTTAATTTAAATTTTTTTTTCGAATGTTTGTGTAAGTTTTTTTTATTCGGTATTTTCTACTTGTTTACTCTTGTAGGTGCAATTGTAAGTTAAATTTATACAGTTGTTTTTAAATATAAAATTGTCGATTTATATTTGGAAACGCTGTATTAGTGGTAAGTATTCATTTTTTTGTTTTAATATGTTAATATTCAGCACCAATGTGTTTGGTTAATTTCATTTTTGTTGGAAACTACAGTTATGTATGGTGGGTTTCCACTGCCGAATTTTCTTTAGGAAAATATAGTGTTATCTTTATATTTTCAAGTACTGTGTGAAGGGTGTAAAGCAAATATGATTCAGTCCATTTTATTTTATTGTTTAAATTGGATATACCGAATTGTATATGATTAAAAAAGTAACTATAAATAGTTACTAACTATAAATAGTATTATATATAAAAAATAGAAACTGGATGCCAAGTTTTTGCTTGTTTAAAGTTACTAATTGATATGTCTAAAAATTAACAAAATTGGATTGCATGTTTAGAAAATTTGGTCTAGAGCGTATTTTGCTTTTATACCCTACCCCTCATGTAAAAAAATATTTTTCTGTTTGAGCAGTGGAAACCAACGTTAAAAGAATTTGTAGCCCTCCGCCACACATCTTACCTTATTCTTAATGATAGTTGTAAAAATGTAAATCTGAATATTTTTAGACGCAAGCTAAGCAATGGGATGTGCTGAAAATAGTTTCACTTGAAATTAGTTTGTAATAATTATTGAAATTATGAAAACGAAAAGATTTGTAATTTTAGAAAATATAAAATATCATAACAAAATTTAGTTTTATTTTTTGATCCATATTTAAAAAATATACAGGGTGTCCGGAAAAGACGTGTACAATGATTGCTTGGTCGAAAATATGACGATTCGACCTCTATCCAAAGATTGGCACTAGAGGGCTCTAAAGTCTGCTAATTATTTTACATTCATTCAAGTGTATCGAAAATCCTTAAATATTCACAAAAAAACCATGGTTTTCGTTTGTCAAACTATTTCAACTCAAAAATCGATATTTTCGACCAAGGAATCTGGTATTCCATTGACATATCTTTCCTGAACACCTGTATAGACTTTGAAGACTTTTTTATTATAGGAAAACGACAAAGAAAAACGAGTTTTTTAAAATAATAAATTAAATTTATTATCATATTGAAATATTCAGTAAAAAGCAGCACCTTTGAAATAAATTACTACATACACAAATAATAAAAAAAATATTTAAAAAACAGGAATGATTTTGGAATAGACACAATAGTAAACAAAATACATTTCAGAATTTAATGGATCGTCAGTGTTTAGTTACCATTGTCCGAAGTGTTCAAGACTATTGTCATCTCTTTCTTTCTCTTTGGAAAAACAAGACAGCAACATGTTTCGTACATTTGTTTTTGTAGTGGAAACCACCAGCTACATTTAATATTACCGTGGATGTCGCCAGCTGATAATCTAGCCTAGGCAGCTACCATTTATATAGTATTATTCTTTTTTTTCATTTTACATTTTTCAATTCTCGAGGGATGGAGGCGACGCCCTTACATCACACATAAAACTTTTAAATATAAACTAGTAAATTTATAAGCATTGTTTAAATAATAAATAGACAGTAAATGCCTAAATCAAAAATAATATTTATTAAATGCAATAACAGAAATGTCAACAAAACTTAAAAACTAAGATATTTTAAAACTACCTGGATTTGCTTTGGTACATTTTTGGTTTTAATTAAATTGCAGTTTTTCCAACGTCAAATTATATTTTTAAATTAATAAAGAAACAATATATAATTTGGTTATTCGAATAAAATCTACGTCAGATTTTAATATTGAGTTATTCCCAAAGTCAATATATGAAAAACATACTTTAAATATCTTAAAAAATCAAAATAAAAATAGTTATATTTGGCAAAAAAATAACATGGCAACTCATAGGAACGCTGTTTAAAATTAAAAATACAATATAATTATATGGCTTTTAGAAAATAATGGTAACATAAATTTTAATCACTAGAATATTTAGCTGGTCAAACAAGGATTTAATTCGTCTATTTCCTGACCTTAACTATAACCCCTAAGGGGTTATAGATTTCCCTAAAAAACTACATTCTGTATAATGTCAATTCATCATCTTCTACCTACATCGTACTATTATTATTTAACTATTTGTATTTGCAAAATAGGTATTATAAATTTTAACTCTTTGACCTCGTCATAGATTATGTGAGCCACAAATCATGAACCACAGATAAAACATACCATAGACTATTGGATTCATAATTTCAAAACTAAATGCCTTTCGTCCTTTAAAGCAGAGATTTCCAAACTTGTTTGCTCTGGGCATCCTTCCCTGGGAATGTTTGTGTATCAAAGTTTAATAAATGGTTATAAAGATTCCTTCAAATGAAAAAAAAAATGAATTTAACCCACGAGAAAAAACAGTTTAGGAACCTCTGCGACATCTTTGTTATATAGAATATAATTTTTACATACAATTATGTAGATTTATATCCATCTGGGTGGTTGCTTTGCCAGCGCCAAGTGTCCGCGCACATATCTCGCAGCGTCCTCGTCGCACGCCAGCCGAGCAGCCTGTGCGAGAGCGAGACGTCCGCGTAGTTGGCGGCGATGTCTCCCTCTCGCCTGGCTACTATTTTGTAAGGTATTTTCTTACCACTGGCCTCTTCGAATGCTTTTACCATCTGTAGTACTGAATAACCAGTACCTGTGCCTGCCAGTGACATATCCTTCATTTCAATCAAAAACCGAAATAAAGAAAATATAGAAACGTCAAATATGGGAAACCTTCATAATCTGCTGTGGTAGTTTAAACTTTTTTGAGTTTTATAAAGAGCAAGGAACTAAACTCAGATTCTTAAAAAAGTTTATGAAATGTGTTTTAATCGATAAAAAACTGATTTAAATCATGAACTGCCTTCAAAAGAACATATCTTACCTAAATTAACAGCATGGAATCCATTAAAACCAGTCTGATTGAACAGTTTGATGGCTTTAACGTGACCTTCCGCGAGGTCCTCCACATGGATGTAGTCGCGGACACCAGTTCCGTCCACTGTGGGGTAGTCAGCTCCAAACACTTGCAGTTCCTTCAGACGGCCTACTGCTACCTACGATAATAGATGGCGTTACTAACGTTATAGAAGTCGGTAAAGAGATTTGTGTTTACGTTCTCAAATTAGTTTTTTTTTATTGTTTTTTTTTGTGTAAGTATTGTGTTGAGATACCTTGGCAATGAATGGCATGAGGTTGTTGGGCACGCCGGCGGGGTCCTCCCCGATGCGGCCGCTGCGGTGCGCCCCCACAGGGTTGAAGTATCGCAGAGATATCACAGACCATTTCTATAAAGAACACTACACTACACATCATCGAATTGATTGAAGAAATGATAACAGACCTATCTCAATCATTATCTATATTACTAGCTGTTGCTCGCGACTTCATCCGCGTGAAAATAAAAAATAGCCTATGTTACTCATCGATAAATTATCTTTCTAGTAAGACAATTTTAAAATAGGCCCAATATTAGTTAATATTAGTATAGATAAAGAAAAAATATTTGGATTTTTGAAAAAACTCAAACTACTGGACCGATTTTAAAAATCACTGCACCATTAAAAAGCTACGCATTATTTACTTTTTTTTTAATTCCACTAGAATTAAATATTATTAGAGAAACTTTACTTAAAACATTTCCATCGTCAAGTTATTTAAAAAGTTACTTAAGATTGAACATAACTTTAAAATAGAACTATGTTAATTATTCTAAAAAAAAGATAGCCCTAAGAAGATAAACAGTAATAAGAGTATATTTGTGTTGTCAGTCATCGTAATCAGGGTTCACTCACCCTGTCACTCCTGCAGATGTCCTTCATGATTTCCTCGCAGAAGTATTTCGACTTGCCGTAGGGGCTGGCGAGGCCGCGCCCCGTGGGGTGCCCCTCCCCCAGCGGCAGCGACTCCGGCTCCCCGTACACTGTACACGACGAACTGTACACTAATTTGTACACGCCGAATTCACGCATTACCTAAAATATATAAACAAATTCCATGGATAAGTTAAGGAGTAAAAGGTTAGCATGGTATGGGCATGTAATATGGATTAATCGCATGTAAGTAGGAGAACGTCAGTTATGAATGTACACCGGTAGAGGTAGACCTAGAAAGAGATGGATGTATTGCGTGAAAGGTGACATCAAGAAGGGAGTGATGACTGAGATGACGTAAGATAGAGTTATTTGTAGGACAAAAGCTTGTTGCGCCCTACGAGAGTAGGATAAGGAGGAAGATGATGATACACAGAAAATCCATCGTTCGTTGTGCAGAACACTTTTATATATTACAGAGAGTACAGTCAGCTGCAATATCTGTACATTTACAAAACGTGTATACTCCTTCGATTTTAAAAAAATATTCATGGTGTTGTCACTTCGTTTACATGCGACCTTGATCACATAATATTGATGATTCCGTGCATGGTTTTTTTTTTTAAACCAAAGGTTTATACAAGTTTCTAATGTTTTGTAAATGTATACATTTGTGCAGCTGACTGTACTGGGATGCGGGAGAGGGGCACAACGAAGTGTATCTATTTATTTTAAAAAACTGTTGGATCTGTAAATCTGTATTTAAGTTATCATTATTAACATGTACTTACATCAAAAAGTGTGCACGTTCCAGTGATGTTGGCCTGGTAGTACTCCAGCGGTTTCTGTACAGACTCTCCCACCGCTTTCAGTGCCGCGAAGTGGATCACACACTCTATGTCGTGCTGGAATAACGCATGTGACGTCACATTTACATTAGCATTTACCAATAAATATCTCAGTATTAATAGTAGTTATCCCAAAAGGTGTATTTAAATATTCTCTTCATAGTAAATTATATAAACAACCGTTTTCACAGAAAAAATCTACATTTGGACTACGTTTTCAAGGTGTTAAACTGAAGTTACATAGTTCGGAAACGTATTTCACGAAGTTATCGAACCAAAAACGCTAACGATTGGTTAAAAATAGCTGGGAAACCGGCGATTAGTCTTTCATTTACCTTTTCAAAAACTTCCCGTAAAGCTGTCGCATCTCTGATATCAACATCATAGAAATGTATCGTTTTCCCAGTTAAATCTTCTATAATATTTATTGCATCTGGTTTCTTCTGCCCTTCAGATTTATGCGCGTTCGTCAGATTGTCAACTACAACGACCTCTATATCTGTGTCAGGTTTTTCTAGGAGTGCTGCGACGGTATGTGAGCCCACGTACCCAGCACCACCGGTTACTAGGATTGCTCGTTTCATTATAACGCTAAAAAAAATTTACTGATATATCAAAAATGCGAAATTTCAGATGGATGTTTGTTAGAGTTTGTAGCGTAAATGGCTAAACGGATCTCGATAAAGATGTAGAGGATATTCTGGAAGGATGCATAGGCTACTTGCTTTTTTTTTTAATTCCGCGCGGATTGAGGAGTGGGCGAAAGCTAGTAATAATATTAATACGAAAAGGATGGATGTATATTTATTACCACGTAACTACAGAATGGCCAAGTGGATATGGATGAAATTTTTCACAGATTTTCTAAAATCGTGACGTATTAGTTCGCAACAGCCATTACATTTATAGTATGTATAGTTTGGTACATATTATTTTATGTGATAGTAAATGTAACATAGTAACACAGAGGGCAAAGAAGATAAGTAGAAATAAATATGTATTTGTAGTTGGAATGAATTGTGCGACATATATTTCAAGGCTAGTTTAATTCAAGTAACCTTAATTTAGTAATAACGTTTGTTTTTTTTTCCTTTAGGCCGATAGGTAAAAATTTGTAATTGGACCGATCAGTCTAACGGCAAACACCTCACAACCATAAAATTTTCTATAGAATTTTGATTACTATAAACATTTAATTGTAAAGTATGAATAAAAGAACCACTTTCCGTTTACGTCATTACTGTGAATTTTAACTATACAATAAGTACTTTTTCAAATAATTAGAAAAAAAATCTCAAATTTTTTCCGTAATGTTACACGTGTCACAAACACGTGATTGTTTACGTTTCTCTTGAACTAGTATACGATGATCTCAATTGTATTATATTTAATAGAACAATATACTTTGCCGGATAAAACTTAGATATTCATAGGACCTGTCCCACCAAATTGTCTGATAACAATCCAACGTGCATAATATGTGATGGAAATATCGAATTTTTTTTACCTTATCTGACGTCATTTTTAAGCTATCTGAGCCTATATCAGCCGGTGGTGGGACAGGCCCTTACATGCATAAAGTTAACACGTTTGAGTCACGTGATGTGCACGTGCAAATAAAACTGTGATATTATATCAATGTAAGAAACATTTTTTACATGATAATGAAGAACGTACGTTTTTTACCATTAAAATTAAAATATTTGCGATAACAATTAACATGGGTAATCCATTTAGAAATAATTACACAAAATGTATTAAATCACACACAAATACATAGATATTTTATTGATAATACGTAAAACATAAAATATTAATGCAATATTTGTGTTTAGATAAGATATTTTCAATATTAAGAATTATAAGGTAAATTTACTTTCCTTAACGATACACTATAGTTTGATGAAATACTTTTGAAAATCAAGTCTAGAATTTACTACGTACTGTTAAGATTAGAATTAGTACCGTGCTGTCGAATTGGCGCAACACTAGAATATCGGCATAAACGTCACGTCTCTAGCTGACAGGTGTCAATGTCATTAGAAGGATTGGAATATTCGCGCGCATTCCTGGCGAGTTCACTATAGTTTGTCTAAATAATTTAGACTAGTTGTTCCCGTGCTACTTCATCCGCATAAAATTATGATAATTTCTTTTTATTGTTTACATCTGTCATATTATCAATTGTATATGTCAAAATGACATGACATGATGACAAACCATGACAACCTTGCTTTCTTGATGTTGGTAGCAACTTATGGTCTCTTTCCAACAATAGGGTTTTTATCCAAAATATTTCCCCCTAAGTTTAATGGCTTAAATTGCTAAGTTTAATGGCTTAATTATTTAAATCGTATATCGATTGTTCAAAATTGATTGCTATGTGTGTTTATTTCGTCACTACGATACCTGTCTATTAAGTATGGAATTTGCCTTCTTACAAATTGAATTCTATACTTCATATGCATCATTTATCAAACTAATCTATCTTATTTAGACACACTATAGTGGAAAGTTTGAATTAATATCGCTATTCACAATTATATTAATTGTTTAAAAGTACAGAGGCGGTACAAAGTTAGTCTTTTCATGAAAATATAACATAGCTTCAACAGAAGGCTGAATGAGTACTTATCAAACTAGCGCGTACCATCCTTCATTCACACTTAACATCAGGGATCGTGGTCAAGCCCCAGTTTATATATCACTAGCTGTTGCTCGCGACTTCGGTCGCGTGAAATTAAAAAAATATACCATGTTATTTACAGATAAATTACCTTTCTAACGATGAAAGTTTAGTTTTCGAGTTATTTCGATACAATACAATAATACAAATCTTTTCTTTTTTTAATCTTACTAATAATAAAAGGCGAAAGTATAGATGGAGGGATGGATATTTGTAAAAGTTTGTAGCCTAAACGGCTAAACGGATTTTGATGAAATTTGGTATAGATGTTAGAGGAGAGTCTGGAAGAACACATAGGCTACTAAATTTGTTTTTTTTTTTTAATTGCATGCCTACAGCGTCGCGGTTGAAAGCTAGTTTAGTACTTAAATAAAATACTCTCTTATGCCCAAAAGTAGTAGTAATGTACAATGAGTGGTGTTCTGAAAAATCGATAGCATGTATTGAATTCGATTAAAACAAGAAGTTCGAGTTTAACAGTTTAGTGAGTTATGGTAGTAAGGATATTTAGATCACATATTTTGCACATTAGATTGTTATCAGACAATTTACAATTTGGTGGGCTAGGCCCTAATTCAATCACGCTGATCTAGACCTTGTTGGTCGATAAAGAATAATAAAAATGTTCTGTAAAAGATTAACATTTATTCATAAGAATCACACTATATCGGTTCTTAGAAACAATAATGGTTAAGGATAATGAATCGATATCAACTACATTGTTGATTGCCTGAACAATAGCAAACATGACGTAACATTTCCATTACAATTGGTAGTAAAACAAATGGATATAGTCTTACAAATTTAATTGGTCTGATGTAGCGTTACCACAAAAAAATTAAAAATATTTTGGGATTGGGCCAGATTTGTACTATACTGTAAATACTGGCTGAATTGCGTCAAATGACCGAGAGATGCTATCATATTGACCTTACGTAGTGCTAACATTCTCAAGTGTAATTGTGTTGCCACTTCAATTTAATCTCAACACGATGTTATTACATGAATACTATAGTGAAAACAAAACTTTTCTATCAACGTTAACGCATTACACTATATTGCTGATTAGTTGTAAAGAAAAATAAATAAACTGAACTAAAATAACACTTCAAGGGAAAACCAACTGTTTGTCGCTAAAAAAAAGTTTATTAAATTATTTAAATACGTGCGTAATAACGGTAAAAGTATTCAATGTAGTAGCATTAAGTATCATTAAGTCATAAAATAATTAAGTATGCATTCCATTCATTTATCTAAATTAGGCGAAATATTTTTTAATGAAAACTAGTAAGTACATTTTTTATTTCTCAAATAAAAAAAAACTTACGATATAACACTGGCTGTTGATAAAAACTTCCTTTGATAACCACAACAGAATATATAGTAATTCGAAATTTAAAATAATTAAACAATAGAATTTAATTGACGCGCATGGTTGTGACCAAGTCTGCCAGCTCACTGTTCAGTTATCGAATTGTGTCCCATATAGGGTGACCAAGGTGGACAAAAATATTTTTTAATTCTTATTAGCCAACTTAGCTTAATAAAAAAAATCCATTTGTTTTGAATGAGCCCATCTAAAAGAAAGTATTCTTTGTTTAAAGATTAAATAAAAGTAAATCGGTTATTTTCCTTTACTAAAAACAAAGGTGTAATTTTAGATTAAAGAGATTATTTTTCGCAAAGTAAAATAGAATTAGTTGTATAGTAGAAAAGAGTAACTTACAAGTTTCCCTCTTTCGCTTTATACGTATATTGTTTTAAATTAAAAATAATATCCCACTATTTGTGAGAACATGGTGTCTCTACACACTTGCGATCCTATTATTAAAGGCTGATTTCCTTATCACAGTTAGTATCACAAGTTGTTGAGTGCCATATATTTTGTAATATTTGATTAGAATATGACATGTGTACAGTAATCCTTGATTGATCGATATTAAATTGTATTTTACTTACCTACTATCACTTAACCCTTCAAATCAAAGATGAAAAAAAAAACAGATTAAAAAAGTTAAAGCACTAAGATTTTTTTGTAAATATGGCATACTGGTCAACCCAACCGCACTTGGCCAGCGTGGTTGACTATAGCCTAGTCACCCCATATCAGGGTAGGCTCCGAGCCCCTCGGTAGGGAAGTATAGTGAGCTGGTGATGATGGCATACTGTTTAATGTTCTCCATGGCCCAAACTCCATATACTGGCTTAACATGGCAAAAGCTAAAAACTGCCCAATGATGTAAATCTGAATGTTTTACATTAGAAACATACAGCCTTACAAATAAACGCAGTATAAAGTAAAACCTGAGAATAAACTGAGTATAAGCAAAATTTGTACTAATATTTGCTTATACTCAGTCTATTCCTAGCTTAAACTTTATACCACATTTATTTGTAAGGCTGTAATAGTTAAAATGTAATATATTTTCAGATTTAAACTGTAATTAAACACAAGTCACAGAAAAAAAAGCAAGACTACTAGAATCTTTATACCCAAAATATCTAAATTTTAGTTTTGGTCCCTGCTTTCCCCTAAAGTACCCTTAAGTTTACATATTAAATATAAGGTTTAAGGAACACATAGTAATTAGTATATTAATAAAACTGATGAGTTTTGTGGTAAGTCAAGATAAAACTAAACAATGTAAACAAAATAAAAAATTCTATAAACAATCACTTTTACTCTCAATAAGTACCATAAATAAAATACAAAACAACCACAGATGAGGCTTTGTATGTTTTTAAATTAAAGTTATATATATTTTTATCTTATACTTTTGTATATTTCCTATTGGAGTTTAAGGCAAATCTTCTTCTGTTTCTTTGAAAACTGCTATTATTTTTTATGTTTACATTTGTGCTACTGAAATTAATGATTAGAATGATCATAGCCGTTGAAGCAATATTGCAACTGATAATAATAATAGTACAGATTTTTGTGTTTGAAATGTTCTGCTATTTATCAGTTTACCTGAAAAGCCATAAACTCTCAAAATACCTCTTTAAAACTACTACCTACAAGGCAAGCGATTAGTAAAAATTGAAAATAGCATTAAAAGTAACATAGAAGTGATCTTTATAGTGTGAAATTAAGAATGTAGAAGTGATTTTTAAAAGATTCTGAAAGAAGGTCCTACCGGATATTTATTTTGGCAATAATTTGGCATGCTGTATGAATGTGAAATTAAAAATTGATTAATACAATAAAAATCGACTTACATATTCTCTGGCTTCATTGTTTTAATAGCTGCTGACGCAAATACCAGTATATATTGATTCAAGGTTTGTTTATATTACACACAGTATGTGGCTGAAAACATTTTGTGAATGTAAGCATTAAAAACTGCACATATCAAAATACCCTCAGTGTTGTTTTAAAATTGTCAAGTAATAAAAGATTATGTATCGTGTTGTTTAAACAATTGTCATTGCTCTTTTATACACAGCTCACTTTTACTATTCATCTACATTTCCTTTTTAATTATTTTTGTTGATTATTTGTTGTAGTTTATTCAATTTTTATAATTTCATTTTCTGTGCTCTTCGATGTTGCCATGTTAAGAACCACTTTGAATTAAATATTTATCTTTAGATTTTCTCGGTATTTCTTTACATTCTCAATAAAGTCAGTTTAGTGTGAAAAAAAATAAAATAATTTTAAAAGATCTGTTTCACATCCTGTTAAATAAATTAAGATTGAAGGCTAATTTTTCTATCTGTGCACACAGTTTGGTTGACATGACAGTTTCTCTGTTTCTGTCTCTTTCGCTCCCGCTCAGTTCTCAAGGTAGTGAAATCTTCGGGTTTTTAAGTTTTATTTATGAAAATAATCTAAAAGTTAAATAAATACATGTATATTGTAGTTTTTAAGATATTCAGAAGTTTATATACTGATAGTTTTATTCATTTACGGTAATGATTAATTAGATAAAACTCGGTGACTTCCAACCTATCGTCTTCAACGTTGTTGTTGTTTTAGACAATTTCTAAAAGTTTGTGTTTTTGCTCACAATATTGTTGCTCTTTTTAAAAAGAAATCAAGTAAATGTGTTATCGTAGTGACTCTTGCTGAATCTGTAGGAGTAAAAGTGTTGAAACCCTCTTAACCTAAAATATTTGACGTGAAGAATACATACAGTGATTGTGCTTTACAGATGAGTACGAAAATCATCAAACCCAATGCCGCGGAGGCTGACACCTTCGAGACATCGATCTCGCAGGCGTTAGTTGAGTTGGAAACAAACTCAGACCTCAAGGCGCAACTTCGGGAGTTATACATTACCAAGGCTAAGGAAATTGAACTACATAACAAAAAGGTATGTTGACTTGTTAATTTATGTCTCTAACCTTAATTTCTTACAGCTATAGGTATATTTATGGACTTACCAACCATTTTTAGTTTACCATGAAACATCTTGAGTTGTCAGATAATTAATAATCTTGAGAGTTTCTCAACACAAAAATAAACTTTTGACAATGTTTAAAACATGATAATTTTAAGTACTGTAAAAATGCAGTAATCTGCTTATTTATTACCAAAAATACTTGTCTATCATAATCATCCTCAGCTTTTATCTGTCTACTGTTGAACAGCCTTCCCCAATACCCTCCGCAGTGACCTCATGTTTTGCTAATTTACTTGACTAAATTTACAATTTTCAGATATGTTTAGTCACTAAATTACTCATTAGTTAACTAAATTATAAATCCATTAAGAACATTGTTAACTAAAGTACATAGATGGAAAATTATTATTATAATTAATTAAGAAATAGACTAATTTCAAATATAATTTTATCAATTTTCTTGTATTAACATTATAATATAAACTTTCAGTCAATCATCATCTATGTGCCGATGCCCAAACTGAAGGCCTTCCAGAAGATTCAGATCCGTCTGGTCCGTGAGCTGGAGAAGAAGTTCAGTGGCAAGCATGTTGTGTTCATCGGAGACCGCAAGATCTTACCCAAACCCAGCCACAAAACCCGTGTTGCTAACAAACAAAAGAGGCCGCGATCAAGGTAAGGAGTATAGAAATCTTTAACACTTTCTTTATAACAATCTCACCACAAGATAGATTAAATGCTTGTATACTAACTTAGTTACAACTAGTACTACCACTAATACACTTCTGGTTCCTTTTAGCTAAATTGAGAAAGCATATTTAAATATAATAAAAACTGTATCTTTTAAAACCAAATTGATTTATATAAGCTTTATGTAAAGAACTATAAGTTTATTGTTTACTATGTGTTGCCTGTAACTCTGTACAAAATTGGGAAAAAACGTAACTTGTAGCCTGTCTTCCAGACTATGTTCTGCACCTATGCCAAATTTCAGCGACATTAGTTAAGCCATACTGTAGATACATAGTAACACTCATTAATCAATCCAAATTTTTGCTTTTGCAATATGAAGTCAGAATATAAAGTTAAACACCTTTTCACCCAAAATGCTGTTTAATTATTCCATACTTCATACCTTGTATTGGCATTACCAGAGGAGATGGCAACTGCCTAGAGCATCCAACATGTAAATTGTTATTAAAACTACTATGAATAAGACCATTTTGAAAGTAGCTACCTGATTTCCCTAGATCTAGTCTAGGTCAAGGTGAAGACACCCATGCTTTCTCATATGTTATATCTTATTATTATAAATGCAAAGGTTTAGATGGATGGATGGATGTTTTTAGAGTTTGAGCTGAAATGATTTTTTTTATACCACATAGATGAAGTCGCGGGCGAAAGCTAATGTAAATATATCTATTTACATATACCAATTTGTCTTGTTACGTTGCAGAACACTGACGTCGGTGTATGACGCTATCCTAGAGGACCTAGTGTTCCCCGCTGAGATTGTTGGCAAGCGCATCCGAGTCAAGCTGGACGGTTCACAGCTCATCAAAGTGCACCTCGACAAGAACCAGCAGACTACTATTGAACACAAGGTAATTGTTACATTTTTATGTGATTTATGCACTATTTGTAATGTGGAAAACATAGCTTCTGTTAACATTTTTATGCATACAAGGAATTTAAACATATGGTCTAATTAAAACTACAATACAATTACAATAAAACATAATTCTCGCCTATAAACCACATGGGTAGGTAGAGGCTATGGACCTCCATGGCTCATGACAATTTCAGCTTTATGTAGAACAAATATACATCCATATAAAAGCACATAGCATACATAAATCATTAGGATACCCGATATAGGCCCTTTCCAAATTACAACATAATCACTGTAATGTTTTTAATCTTAAAAGTCTAATATTTATGGCTAACTGTATATCCGCACTGAATTAAAAAAAAAATCTGTGTTCTTCTAGACCATCTTCTATATTCCGAATTTAAGTGAGATGTGTTCTGGACATGCATAGTAACTTCCATCCATCCAAACTTTAGTATTTATATTTCACATTTTGTTAACAGGTGGACACTTTCCAGTCAGTATACAAGAAGTTGACGGGGCGCGAAGTCACCTTCGAGTTCCCCGAACCCTACTTGTAAACTTAAGGACTAAATTTACAATAAAACTAAAACCTTAACTTATGACTTTCATTTTAAATCCCAATATACCAAAACAGTAAAGAAAATATATAGCATGATAGTAAAATGTACAGGAGGATGGAGAAAGTATGGATGGATTGTGTAAAAGAAGACAGCTGATAGAAATGTATGGATCAGTTCTGGAGTACTCTGTTGACCCTCCATAGGGAAGAGTGCAGGGTAATGTGTGTGAATGAGTACAATTTTAGACTATGTTGTGAAATAAACAGTTACTGGAATTATCATTTATTTTTAAATAACTATGTGATAGTAAATAATATACCAAATATGACTTTTTTATAACATGAGAGCTGTATATTTTGATTCTATTATATAAACTTAAAATAGAACACCACTTAAATGCAACATCAGTCAATACTAATTTATTGTAAAAATTTTGTGAACCCTTATGCACAATTAAGGTGTTTTAGCAATAAAATATGATAAAAGCTAGATAAAGTTTGGTTATTACAAATAAATTATTTTACAACATAAAAAATATCTACAAACAACCCTATTTATACTAAACAATCCCTGGAAATATAAAATTGTAGTAAAAAGACCCAAATAAAATGAATTTATGACTAAAACATTATATAGTTTTATAACATCTGCCGAAACGAAAATTGACCACGAATATTAAAAAAAAAAACTTAGTTGACAATGTTTTCTTACAAACTTTTTTCTGTAACCTAAAACCGCATCCACAACTCAATGGTTATAAAAACAAAACCTAAGTTTCCTGAATTTAAGATAATAGTCCAAGAATATTCTAGACTACTATACAAATATACATAAAATGAAATTAACCTAATAAGATCAAACACATTGAATGACTACAATGTTTGAAATAAAAATATTTAGGCGTGACTCATAAAATCCATTTTATAAGAAAGTTTCAAAACATTAAATTCATTCAGTATAAGTATTTATGGAAATAAAATAAATTCATAATTATGGTAACTAGTCAATTCCGTTACAATACAAATTCATAGTAGTCGAAATATATTTTTATACAAAAAGTTTGACATTTACTTATTGTCTATGGTCATAGTCGTGTTCAAGAAGCCCAACACTAAATCTTTGCCAAGGTTTCAAGTCGCAATTTAACTCACAAATCTTGTTTAAATATTTGATCTAAATCTTCCGGATTTGATTCTGTAGGTTTTTCTATCGTTTCGTTATTTGTAGCTTCATTATTCGGTCTAATAACTTTAATATAGTTAACAGGGACTAATCCTGCAAATTGTCTGTCAGTTGTTGCCATCAGCCAGCCGGAGTTCCAGAGGTTTCCTTGCAGATGTTGAGGTGCGAGGGTGAGGACCTGGTTGGCACCGAAACTGATCTCCTGAGGAGACGTAGCTTGAAAATCGTGTTGGGCAACCGCACGGAGTGGATTTTGCCACGATGTTGGATCGTTCACTGAAATAAATTATTATTTTTTTGTACATTAGTTGCTAGTTGAAGAATTCAATGTTAAATGTACTGAATAATTAAAAACTCAATGTTATTAAAGATTTAATTTAATTTTACCATCAAGGTCAGGTAAAATGTTTACAAAAGTCATTATTATGCAAATAAACCGAAGTTATTAATTTCAATGACGTTTCTGTGAACAGAATATGTATTTTCCTACAAAATAAAATCCTCGGTTCTGTATTTTAGTTAAAATAATTACAATATAATACATTGCGAAGAATTAAAATCTGCATGGAAATGATATACTTACATTTCTCATTAATGCTGGAAGATAATCCATTTAGCATCCTCAATACAATATAAGGGGCAGCCGCGACGACTCCGAAGAACAGTAGTATGGGCCAACTGGAGCCCTTGGCCTTTTGCTCGGCGGTAGCGGTGCCCGACTTTGTGGCCGCTACCGCGTCTGCCCACGCCTGGAAATAAAAATAGATTTATGTTCCAATGATTTCATGCATTTCTAAAAAAAAGTTAAATAATAAAGACATTCATGTACTAACTTTCGCATAAGACTCTGTTCATGTGTAATTAAAAAACAAAACAAACACTATCCTCTAGATCTGTGCCAAGTCCATCGAGATCTAAGCAGTTTAGACTACACACACTGACATACAACCATCCATCTATTTTTTTGGCATTTATAATATAACTTTCGCCTGCGACACTGTTTGCGTAAAATAAAAAAGAAAAATAAGTAGCCTACATATGAGTTCTTTCACACTACATCTGTGCCAAATTTTATCGAGATAAGTTAGGCTTTCTAGACTACAAATTCTAACAAACACCCATCTATACATTCGTATTTTTAATATTTGTAAGATGTATATGATTCTAAAATATATGTATCTTTTTTTTATCACTCTTTCACAGAAATTTTGCTGATGGTTGTACCATATCAAAAATCATATGATTCCTTTTTGTTCTTAGTCGTAATAACGTCACGAGATTGTACATATCATGGGCAATGTCCTATCTACACATTGATAAGATAGTATGCAATAGGATTGTCAAAAGAATTTTTACAATGTCATATCTGAATCACTACACCAGCCTTGTCCAAAGTTCTCCTTTTGTTCCAAAGTACACTTATTACAATAGCTAATAAGCTAAAAAACTAATTTATTCATATTTCTACATACTAATAGACAGTTGATTTCAATTTTGCAATTAAACACTAGGATATAGCATAATGCAATACATCTTATGCATCAGAGACAACAAAAGCTTTTTATTATTTTTTAAATAAATAAATAGGACTTTTATTGCCACAAAAATAAACTACAAATGAAATCTTACATACATCAATTAAAGCTAGTAAAAAAAAGAAAATGTGGCAAAAGGCGGTAAGCTGAGCTAATGCAGAGACGGCGCAGGCCGTTTCTGCGCTGGTTTTCAGCTTGCCCCTTTACCCACAGGTATTTACACACAAGGTGGGTGACTTAACCTTGATAGGTATTAAAAAACTGAATAAAAAAAAAATATATAACAGCTCCTTATTTTATAAACAAAAGATATTGAATAAATATAAAATGCATTGATCAGTCACGTTTTTAAATAAAAACTCAAGATTTTGTTCACAAAATATCAATGAAATAGATACAAAAAAAAATATTAAATAGCAACTGAAATCTTAATCGATATCTTAGCTCAAAGAACAATATTATTATGGAAATGTTAAAAACATATATCTAATAATTTAAATAACAAACTTTTATCGGAAAGAGAACATAAACAAAAAATGATAACAATAAAATTATAAGATAAAAAAACATCAACTGCTGTGAAGTACACCTTGAAGTGATTACTGTTTTTAATCTTATGTTTGTATATTTAATATTTTTTATATATCTTTTTTAATAATGTATGTAGTATTTTTTAGTCTGTGACGCAGATGTTTATTGTATAAACTTTTAATACATCCAACTACAAAATAGTCAAGAAAGGATAAAGTCTGTTAACATATATTTATGTATGTGTGTATGGTGTAATTTATGGTTTACACGCTTACATATAAAAAAATAACAAGTTTGATATGTGTACGACCTTGAACATTGTCTTAAAATGATTTTACACCTTTTTATGATCAGAATCGTGGGATTCGTGAACATATTTTACGTCACAATTAAAATTATTGCCTGAACTACTGACAAACCAAAAAGACGACGAAAAAAGTCCATCAAAAACCACCCTTTAACACTATGCAACCTATCAGCAGTTTTGCGTAATGTACATGTCATCCTTTACAATTTCTTGAAAAAAAAAGAGTTAGCAATAATTTCTTATATTGTAGCAACTCACCTTGAATTCATTCTCCGTTCTGATACCGAGTATGACCAATAACTTCCTCACCAGCCAGTTCAAAGTACGGACAACTGCAAATGTCGACCAGAACTGCGCAAATAATGACCTTAGACGGCCAAAGTTTTCTGCTACACCTGTTAACAAAATAATCATTAATCACATGTAAAAGATCTTTTCTCTTTGTATTGTAGGAACAATTGAAGATTGACATTGATGTGGAATCTAGAAATTAAGTTACAATTTTTGATGAAATTGTACAATAAATACTACAACTAAAAATAAAAACAGGGAATCACTTCTCTTTGCTATAATAAACAAAAAAATTTCGAATATTTCTATTCCAATATTACAAAAGAAATATATTTTTATGTAACAAATAAACTCAAAAAATATGGGATCAATTTCTAAAACCTTTTGCACTTAGATATCTGCATAATCACTGAGTAACATAGGCTATATTTAATACAAGATTTCATTTATGCTGCAGGGATAGTTTTAATACAAGATTTCATTTATGCTGCAGGGATAGTTTTAAAAAAAAATGTAGTGACATTTAAGTTGTAAATGAGAGAGACTTACCTAATATAGCTCTAAAAGAGCTGGTCAATGCAAAAAATGTATTCTCCAACATCATGGCAACACTGCCAACTGCATTTACCAAACTCTGTATTGAATCAAAAGCTGGTCTTGAATTCTCTTCTGCCATTTGTATGAATCTGGAAACAAAAATCAACAAATAAGGCCTCTTATGCAGTTACTTTTTAAACACACTAACTTATACATTCACTTCAAAGCAACTCTTGCTTCATTTCAAATTTATTTCAAATTAAAAAGCTGTGTTATGTAAGAAGATAGTTGGAAATGCATTTGTTTCTTTTCAAGTCAGAGAATTGAGAAAGTTCTTTGGATTTTACAAAGTATGGTTTACATATAATTGCCAGTATTCACTTTTTTGCAGGAAGTATATTTTTTGAGCAATGTTTAAGCAGGTGAAACCAAGGCTTATTATGCAAACAGTACCAATACATGTAAAAATGCATCATTTAAAATTATATCAGTTGATTCTATTCAATAAAAACAGTTTGTAAGGGACCAAGTTCTAAGCATATACCTCAATACATTATTTATGTTAATAGATTAGTGCAATGAACCAAAACAATGATAAGTTAGAGGGTTCTGAGAATAATTGTTTACGAAAAATAACATACCTGCTTTCAATATCACCACCATACATTGGTCCATATCTATTGTATCCTCCATAAGGACCACCCATACTGATTCCCATACCTCCCATACCATAACCACTGTTCATTCCTCCATATCCAAAACCACCATATCCGCCCATACCATACGAACCACCCATACCATAAGAGTAACCAGGATTCATATTATAACTGGGTTGCATTCCGAAATCAGGTCTCGGCGGGAGAACTGGTGGCCCAATGATTCCATTTGATGTCGAGGGTATGGGATTTCTAAATGATGGTCCTTCCATATGAGGTACAACAGAGTTAGATAATGTAGGGTCAGAGTTAACTTCGAAATCCTTCACTGGTTGGCTCATTTTCTTCTTAATAGTCGCAGTTTTATGTAAAAGATATTTATTACAACAGTCTCAAATACATTTGTAGAACTGTTTCCCGGTGTAGTATTTTGCAATAAACAAACACGAAACGTATTAGACGAAGCTACGAACAAGGAAGGAAAATATGTTTTTAACACTTTCGTACCACAGGAATCAACTTTACGTCTTTACTTTACAAAACCACAAAAGATCAAAGAGCACTGTCAAAATCAAATTGATACTTTGACAATGACATTTATACAACACAAATATATCGGAAACTTAGGCTTGAAATGTAAAAAACGAGAGAAAATTCTTTCAGAAACCCTAAAAATTAACTATCAAATAGCTTAAAAACTGTAAAAATAGCTCAGTAATCTTTTTTATTTCATTTTACCACCTTCGCATTATTACGATAGTTACTACAAATTGTATTGTCTATGGTTCAAAGGGTGTCAATCATAAATGGTGTCAATGTATCAATTGTGTTTGTTGTTATTTTCATTTAAATTATAAGTCATAGCAATATTTTTATTGTGTGCTATATAGTGGATAAATCATAACAAAAGGTATGTATTTAAAATTATAGCTTTAACATCCTAAAGTAAGTAATAAAGAGTCTATCAAAACTATTACATTTTAGGTTCTAAATGTAATGTTTTATACTTTATTGCGATTAATATTAATTTCTGGAGTTTAATTGTTTATTTATTCTAAACTAGTGTGTTATTTAGGTAGTCTATTACGTGTAACATACTTGAATGGATAATAAAAATGATTTTTTCGACCGGTTCAAAGTTGTAGGTCTTTCTACATGGTCGATCGAAGTTGACACTTAGAAGATGAGTTTATGGACATACGAATAAACTTTAATCTTACAGCAAGTTTATAATTACATTCTACTTTATTACATAAGTAAATTACATCATGAGTAAAATAATTCTAAACATGTAGGTAAATATGTCTTAAACATTTTAACCTAGACTTGTCAAATTATGTAAGTTAAAAATTAATTATGATGTAAATTAAT